GAAAGAGAGACAATCAAAATGTATTTCTAGGGGTGTTCATCAATAAAAAATGGCAAAGACAAACAAGTTGGAGTCCATACATAATGAAGGTCTTTAATTGAAAGCTCTGGTCACCCATTCATGTATTTCAACATCTCCATCCTCAAGAAGGAATCTCTGGAAAGGGGAGATGCCAGGGAAGAAGGGCATCGGGGTTGGCTTTGGGCAGCAGCTCTGGAGCCCCCCACACTTGGTTCAAGACAGGTAAAGTTTTCAGGCCATTATATTGCCACGACAATAATTCAGGTCCACAACTTTCATGACGTCAAGTGTAGTACACGATCTGAGATTCAGTTGGGGTCCTTAACAAACAACAAAAGAGAAAACCAAAACCATGAGATGCTGGCTTAGATAGTGCTGAGTGATCTGTGCATTTGTAGACAGCCCTTAATACCAGGCAGATTGCACTTGCCTTTTTAATCCCATTAAGTCCCTTCAGGAGCCAAAGCAATGCCCAAAGCAAAGTAAGCAGGGAGTAGAGGGCAATGCTGCCATGCTAGAGCTGAGCCCAAGCTGTACAGCAGCTTTCCATGACATGGCTGGAGGCAATCAGCTTGCAGGAAGGCTCAGAATACTTTGAGGGTGTTCAGGATTATCAGAGTAAAATTTAGTTCCCTCGGATACATTTAAAACAAATGGTTTTTCCCCGTTAATACAAAATTCTTTTGCAAGTGATCAAAATACAAGTAAGGCACCCGCAGCAGCTCAGCTCATTTATACCAGTCTATAGCAGCTACAACAGTGGTTGCCATTCTAGGGGTGTATTTATGTTGCTTGGTTTCTGTCCGTGTCAAGTTGGAAGAGGAGCCTTTGTGCAGTGGTCACTGGCCAAGGGAAAGAAAGTGGCAGGCCAATGGGAGAGAGAATTCCTTTGGTTGCACTCACCATGAACTTCACGAGCCATGTAGGTGGTGAGTCCGCTGCACATGGCCATGATGTCTGCTCCGTAGGAGTTGAGGTTGTTGACCAATCCACTGGTCACAAAGGTGATCTTCTTTGTAGGTCTTCCAAGACCGACCTGGTTCTAGAGATCAAACGACAGCATTCAGCAAGATGGGTGCCGGGACGCGTTTCATGGCGGGCACATGGGGAGTTGTGCAGTGACGAGCGGGTGCTTGGGGTGGGAGTGGCAGCTGCCTTTAGTGGTGCCTTTGCCATGGCACAGATCCCTCTCCCTCCCCAAAGGAAAAGAGAGTGCGGACAATGGCAGCTGCAAAGCAAAGGGCTGAGCTGACGAAGGCAGGTTGGTGTTGCAATGACTCTGAAGGCCTTGGAAGGATTGCCACGCCAAAAGCATTGGTGGCCTTGAAGGGCTGCTGAGAGAAAGGGTTTCTCAGCAAGCCGCAGAGCTCAGGTTGCTGAGAGAAAGCACAGCTGGCAGAGGGAAGGAGGCCCCCCCTCCTTTCTTGGGACAAAGCATCCCTA